ATATGTTGCAATTAATTTCATGAAGTGCACTTTGGAATTGAGAAATGTAAAAGTAGAGCCTGTGAAATTTTTTACTGGAAAGGTATGACAAATGACATTGAGCAGCTTGTTTCCAAATGTGAAAAATTCAGAAATAGAAATCAAAAAGAACCTCTAATGCAACATGAATTTCCAACTAAACCATTTGAAAAAAATTGCCCTTGATATCTTGCAATTTGGTAATCAAAATTACTTAGTAGTTATCGATTATTACACTAAATGGATTGAGGTTTCTAACATAAAAGGTAAGACAGCAAATGAAATTATGATAAAGTTAAAATGCATCTTTGCCAGGTACGGTATTGCAAATGAAGTCGTTTGTGACAATAATCTCTGTAATAGCTACTTATTTAAGAAATTTGCTGAAGATTGGGATTTCGAACTTAAATTTAGTAGCCCCAAATATCCTCAAAGTAATGGGTTGGCTGAAAACGCTGTAGGAATAGTGAAAAATATCATGAGGAAAGTGCAAGATATAAGTGTAGGCTTAATGGAATATCGAAATACCCCAGTTAGTGGAATAAATTTGTCTCCTGCACAACTGTTACTTAATAGAAGATTAAGGACAAAATTACGTATCAGTAATAAATTGTTAAATACTAAAATAAACAAACCTTATTCTAAATTTCGTGCACTTCAAGGTAGGCAAAAATATTATTATGATAGAACCACACAGAAACTGCCTGAGTTAAAACCTGGAGATAGGATAACCTTGTTCAACTTTAGAACTGGGCAATGGGATAAAGGTGAAATAATTTCAAAACTTAAAGCTCCCAGATCCTATATTGTAACAAATTCAAATGGAGAAATATTGCGAAGAAACAGACGCCATATAAAATTTTCAAAAATCACCTTACAAAGTTAATAATGATTATAATGATATATTATTAGATAAAGAGGAAAATTCAAATAGAAGGCCTAAGAATGTTTCTGTGCCTATTAATATAGGAAATCAACAGAATAATCTATCCAATAATACAATAACAAGAAGTGGATGGTTGATTAGACAACCTTCAAGATATAGAGACTTTGTCATGGAATAAAATAATGTAACATATTGCATATATCATTTTTGTAATTTTTTGTTATTGTATGTCATATTGTGAATATACTTGTATTGATATTATTTGCTATTTTTATTATTGTTTATAAATTGGAGGAAGGGATGTGATGTATATTTAAAATATCTATAACTGGAACTGTAAATAACTATAACTGTAATGGCGCTCATGCTATGCGATTCCGTTGTTGTGATGCACGTGTAACTGTGCTAGCTGAATGTCATGTGAACTGTTTAAAAATTTTGAATTCTTGAGATATACTCATTAGTCGAGTCTACTTTTAAAGTATAGAAGTTATTAAGTTTAACAAACTAAACAAGAAGTTACAATGCATGTTCAAAAAATATTAGGCATGATACTTTTAAGTACACAGGAGTGTATCTTGAAAAGTACCCAGACAATTCAGGTAGTCAACATATTGGAAGAAAAGGCGTGAAAGTGCAACGAAGGAGAGTCATTTTTTATTATAATCTTAAAAATACCACTTACTCAGTGCGTTTTTGGGTAATATTAAAATTTTGGAGCCAAACTCTTAACCGCATACAAGATTGACTTAGGAAAGGTAAATAAGAATAATTTATTATTATTGTTTTGCTAATTAATTTAGTTAGCAAAGCATGTAAGGACTATCTACCCAAATGAAGGGATGCACTTTATATTTTTAGTTTTTATTTCAAATAAATAATTTAATTTACAGAAAGATAGTAATATAAATAATAATATAAACTGAATATATTTACATGTCAATTGAAGTAATTATTATTTTGTTATTTCTTAACATGCATTAACTCAAATACATGCTAGAATCTAGGAAATTAACAAATTAGTAAATATTAAAAATTAAACAAAAAGGATTTCCAATACTTTTATTAATTTATGCCAGTTGTTACCCTTTTATGCTGGTTTTAACCCCTTTCTACCTCTGGCAAGGTAAAATCTATTTCCTGCCAGCTAAAAGACAGCTCTGATTAGTGCCCATAACAGTTTTACTGAGGTGAAAATTTACATAAATAAGAAACTTATTTTGAATATATTACCTCTTGCATACAAAGATAAAGATGAGATGTGGCACATTTCTTGAGTAATTCCCACACAAGTTTAGGGTTAATTTCACTCATTTCTAATATTTTGGGGATCACCGAACGCATTGCATAAATTCTCTTCACATCTGTTTTCTAAAAATGAAAGATCATGCATAAACTATCTATTTTTAATGTAAATATGATGAAGATACTACAGTGAAAAAATATAAATTAGCATGAATCTGCTTAAAAGCAAACCCAATTTTCAATAGAAATAATGAAAATATAAGAGGTAAAATAAAAAAAAAAAAATTATACTGATAGATTAAGCACGATTAATGCATGTATACTGATAAACACAACAGTACGAAAGTCCTTTCAATGCATATTGTTACATTTTTTATTTCTTTCTTCTGACACCAGTTGTTACGTTATTTTCTTCGATGAAGTATCGAAACACACTTTATTTAGCCAATATTAATCAGGACAGCTCCAATAACATTTTGTACAGTCGTCGAAAATCTACTATAAACACGCTGGAACAATCAGCGACACAGCCTTCACAGGTTATCACGGTGGAGACAGCTTCCTGCAAAGCACCCGACTCTGCTTTCCGGAGTACAGCTCCTGACTCTGCTGGAACTCCACACACTCTCGAGACCTTCCACGCTACAACTCGCGATGCACTCGACAACACACGAGCAGAGCTTCCGACTCTTCGGTTCATTCGTTCCCGGAGCTCAACACGCTCTCTCGACGATGCACGACAAGACACCAACTCGATACTAACTCTCTCGCACTCTATACAAAGCACACACACTCACTCACTCTCTCAACGAGGTAAACACACTAACTGACTACAGACTAGCAGGGTTTATATAGCTTTCTGCTTGTGTTCGAGAACATTCTGGGATAAACTGGTAAGAATTCGTTCTAGAAGATTCTCCATTCGTCCATGGTATATCGCCAATTTTGTCGCCAAACGGGCGATTTCTCGCCAAATATGGCAAACCTAAAACTGATTTGCGGGGAAACCATCTTACCGCGCCTTTACATTTGGTAACACTGCCCCCTCCCAAGGACTGCACACCCCGACAGTACAACCCTTGGTCAGAAGCCTAATTCAATACAAACAAAACGTAATGAAACAAACGTAAGATATAAAAAAATAGCATAACTAAAGAAACAGATATTTACACTATGTACAAGTTATATACACAAATTAAAGTTAAGAATGAATTTCAGTCTCAGTCTTTTTATTAAAATATACCCGCGTCAAATACTTTTCCACTGCAGTTCTCAGATGCATTTCTGTTTAGCGTATCACAATCTGAAGATATAGTCCTTTCAGACTTGTCATCCACAGAAAGATGTGAAACAGTTTGTTCACCACTCTGTAGTTCATTTGCAGCATGCATACAGTTCATCTCGGTATTTTTAGCACATGATACATGCTTATTTACCTCTATTTCCTGAAAGTCAGTTCCGATGTTTGCGCTAGGGTCGTGAATAGAATCCGATACTTTACAAGGAGAAGTATCCAAGTTTAGAATCAAGTCCTTGTCTGCAAAATCTGCACTATGAAACGCACACATAGTTCGTGAAATGAGTGAATTTTCTTGCAATAATGGAGAACTCTGCATAAGTTGTACATCAGCTTCTTCCCATCTCTACATCACATTGCACTTTCAGATGTTTCAACACTTGCTAACTCCCAGCTTGGTAACTTCAATTATCAGTTTTGACGAACTTAACAGTTGCATTTTCATTTTCTTCCACTTCAGGCACTTGAGAATCAAAAGCTTCTTTCCCGTCTTTTATTTCTTCATGTTTTCGTTCTTTTCCTTTAATCCCACTAAATGTTTCATCCTTCATTTCTTGATCTTCCTCAGATAGTTCATTAGCTACTTCCTTCATTTCTTCATCCTTTGATACTTCAGACGCCACTTCAGTCACTTTCACATCATCTTTTACAGCTCTAGTTTCTTCTGCAAGCTTCACTTTCATTTGTGGCAGTTGCTTTTGCACCTTTTCTTGGCCGACATTTATTTCTTCTCATCCAGCGTTCTTCTCTTCCAGTGTCGTTTTCGTCTCCTTCAGTCCAGCTTTGATCTCTTCCAGGCTGGCTTTCAACTCAGCCTTCATCTCTTGATATCCGGCTTTCATTTCAGCTCTCATCTCTTGATATCTGGCTTTCATCTCAGCGCTCATCTCGGCTAAGTTCATCAAAGTCTTCGTTCCCTCCACCATGGCTTTTTCTTTTCTTCAGGCGGGTCACTGGCATTCACTCGCAAATCCCACTTCTGACACCAGTTGTTACGGTTTTCTTTCTTTTCTGACATCAATTGTTACATTATTTTCTTCCTTCACGTTTGTAAGTAGTTCGGAGATTTGGAGTGAATAACGACGACACTTAATGAAGTATCAATACAAAGGTAAGATGGCTTCCCCGCAAAGCAATTTTAGGGTTGCCATAAGATGGCAAGGGAAGGCATCTTACTGCGCCTTTACATTTCGTAACAATATTATACAATTTTTCCTTTATCAAAGAAAAACTATAAAAATAATATATACAGTCAAAAGTCGTTAATCCGGACTCGTCGGGACTTCAGCGATTCCGGATTATAGATCATCAGTTTAAATCTCGTAAGATGGCATGCAGAAATTCTAAAATTAAAAATATGAAACCGTAATTTATGAAATAAAGAACAATTATGATCTAAAAGGTATCAAAATTTACAAAAAAAAAAAAAAAAAAAAAAAAAAAAAAGCTTAATATTTATTTGTTTACTTTATTAAACATTTCTTTCAATGTAAGTTGTTTAAGTTGCTTTCGTTTTATGTGATAATACTTTCTCTTTAATTTCTATAAACAGACATAATTTCTTGTTCAGTTACAAAGTTCCGCTGTTCAAGTCCCGTAATTGCTGTGCCGAGAATACCGACTAACTTGTCGATCGAAATTTTTTTTTCGCTTTCACTAACCGCTCTCTGTCACATTCTTCTTTCATGTCTTTATCCATTTTTTGCAGCAATTCCACTTTTTGTTTGACGGACATCGGAAACATGCTTTCGCTTCGTACATCCTTTGGCACTCCAGAATCCGAATCTTTTTGAATAATCGAAAGTTCAAGTTTACTTTTATAAAATTGCTCTTACAGTCTGCAAAAAATAATAAGCCGCATTCAGTTCGAAGATTATGGAGCAATGCAATCATCAACATTAACTGAAATAGATAATTAGATAATTTAAGCTTATACCGTCCGTTATACATTAAACGCGCACGCGGAAACATATTCTGCGCTTGCGCACACGCCTATGCGCAGTCGTAAAGGTCTTACGCGCACGCGTAAACGCCTATGCACATGTTAGAGTCCTGCATTATATTTGAAGAAATTAAATAATGAACAATCTGCATAAATCTGTATGTATCTTTCTCACATTGTGATAAAACAACGGTACATAAAGCCATCGAATTTTGGATGACGCAATCCTGCGAATATGGGCAGGTGGAAGCCCAAATTTGAAATTTGTTTTATTATCGATTTCATATTTTGTATATACTCTGTATATGAAATTCTAACGATATACTCAATTTAAAACTATTTTGCGATATTGCTCTTGAACTGAATTTTATGGTTCACGTGCAAAGAACGTGATATTTAATAAATAAAGGTAACAGACAAAATGTTAAAAAAATGGCCCTTTGAACGTAATTTAACCCCCCCCCATTTTTATCATTTCTGTATTACTGAAATATTAAATTTTATGTATTTTTTTAGATAGCTATAATCAGGTACACTACAAAAAAATTAGTGATAACTGCCATCATGATGCAAATAAATTAATGAATGAAATGCCTATAGACACCATAGTAAATTTGGCTACTATTATGAAATAATATAAAAATTAAAAAAAATAATGATTATGTTTCACTTTTTTGGGGGGAGAAAAGAGAGAAAAAATTCAGGGAGTGATAAATTAAATGAAAAATAATAATGAATTAATTGAAGAACACATTTTAGGAAAGAGCTTAATTCTTTCAACTTCTGCTTTGCACCTTAAAAAGGGGCTAAAACAGATTGTATCTTCACATTCAATGATCTATAATATTTATACCATGGAATTTTAAAGCTTTTGGTTCTAATTTTACATATTATTGTTACATTTAAAGCTTTTGGTTCTAATTTTACATATCATTTTTGTAGTTAATACTAATCACACAAAAAACAGTTTAAGGTGATAATTATTTAACAGAAAAATCTTGTCAAGCTTAATTATTATAAGAGCATAATTTGGTCAAATATAATAAAATTCTGAAATGTAAATAACTTTCATTTTCAAATGAAAATAACTACATGATGTGCCCTTCCCCTCAAAAAAGCAACAAAATAAGAAAGAAAGAGGAAAGGGAAAAAGCAGTTAATTTAGACAAATACTCAACAATAATATGTAAAATTAGAACAAAAAACACACTGAAAATAATGAAAGATGTAAGAAATTGGAAGGAAATAATTTAACGTGTACATGACAAAACTTCACTTCTTGAAAATGTATTTCATTAATAACTACTAAATATTGTTATTTTTTTGTTCTTTCTGTTTCATAAGAGGCATTCTATTATAGAAGGGAAAGGTTATTTAGAGAAAACTAAATTACTCATTCTATGTTCTCTACACAATTACAAAAGTTACTTACTAAATTTCACCTTTGTCCAAGAACTATTAGTAATAGAAATATTAGTAATAGTTCTTGGACATTCTTCATAAAACAAAACAAACCAAAAAAAAAAAAAAAAAAACAGCCCTTACTGAATGGCAAATGAACACAGAAGGAAATCAGGAACTTCCTGTAATCGAAATGAAATACCTAAATGCAATATCATCTTCGAAATGATGCAGATTTATCATATACATAGAGTAATAATTTTGCTACGTTTAATGACTCATTATATTGCATGAAGATCTCATAATAATTTGTTATGTATAACAGAGCTTATCTGTTAAAATGGAAATTATTATTACCTTATGCATCGGCCTGTATTGTATTGCTAACAAAAATAAAATTATGCTATAGATACAAAATAAAAGATATAAAAAGCTATTACAAAATAGTTAAGCCACATCTTATCATCATGAGTAAAAGCATGTATG